GGGTGACAAAGGGGCTGCTGGTGGTGCCTTTTTACAGAGAGGGAAACTGAGGCTCGGAAAGTGTCCATGACTTGTCTGAGGGCACATGGCCTGTGCGAGGCAGAGCCAGGATTCGAACTCAGCTTGGCCTTGTTCTGGAACCTGTGCCCTTGCCAGCAAGCCTGGGGGCTCCCTGGGGGCACTGCCCAGAGGAGTCCAGAGGGGATGTGCAGAGTGACTGACTGCCTCCCAGGAAAGCCAGCCAAGCCTCCCAGGGCCGCCTTTGAGGGGGGCCGCATCTGTTCCATGTCCAAGTTTTTTGTTCTTTCGGAACCAAATCCGCCTCAGCTGCAGCCGTCCACCTCTTCTCCTGGAATCGACTGCGCAGGAGGCCTGGGAGGCTGGTGGCACCACGGCTGCATAGCCACCACGACCCTGCCGGTAACTGTTTCTGCAGCAGCTTCATCAGCATCTAGGAGAAATCTCAGATGCTGCCTCCTGGGGACCCTTCCAAGGTGGCAGAGATGACCCCCCCCATCTCACAGGTTTTGGACCCACTCAGCCCCCATCCCTTGGGCCTCAGCTCCACTGACTACCTGCCAAGACCCTGCCCAATCTGCAGTTCAGCTGAGCATCTCCTCCAGGAAGCCCTCCTGGACCACCCTCCCAACCGCCCCAGCAGACGGTGCCTCCTCCGCTGCGCTCCCAGCACACGTGACAACAATTGTTACCATCATGCAGCGTTGGTATCCACCAGCACAGTTAACCATCCCTGCATCCTTGTGGGTAGAGCCTATTATAATCCTTGTTTTACAGATGAGAAAACTGAGTCACGAGGATCGAAGAAACATCCCGGGTTAGGAGCTGCTCTGCCCTGAGACTGCTGGCTTGTGTGTCCATCTCTCCGGGGGCTGTGAGCTTTCTGAGGCCAGAGTCACCCCTGTGGGAGCCCAGGCACACAACAGAGGGCCTGGGGCAGCCACCCTTCCATTCTGCAGAAGAGGGGAGCCAACACTTAGATGGGCCCACAGCCTGCTGGCCGGAGTCTGGACAGAACTTGGGTCTCCTGGTGCCAGCCCAAGGCGCTTCCTGGGGCTGGCCCCGCTCAGCTATGACGGGGGCAGGTGGGCTGGAAGGTGTCGGGGAGCAATGTCCACCCCCAGCCACCCTCAGTCTCTGTATTTGTGCACTGACAGTCTCCCCTCTTCTGGCCTCAGTGGGCCCCAGCACCCCAGACTTGAGGCACCCTCACTCTGCAGAGGCCACCTCACCTCCAAACCTTAGTCTTCTCATCTGCTAAACGGAAGCATGAAGCGTCCCCCACCCGGGCTGTTGGAGGAGGCACTGGCCAGCGCTGGGGCGACCAGGGACCAGGCTCCAGCGCCCAGGATGAAGACCCGGTGCCCTTGGCACCTTGGCAAACAAGGAGCAGGTCACACAGGCCCCGTCCGTGGAAGGCACCAGACCTGCGGAGCGCGAGACGGTCCCGGAGCCCATGTGACTATCACACGGCAGTGAGCCACGCTGCAACTCCCGCCCTCCCGCCCGCCACCCCACTCCTTCCTTTGAATCCGCCGGCACCATCTGCAGGACCATGTGGGCCCAGCGCTCCCCTGGCAGAGCCCCCTGAGCCACACTTGGAAGGCGCGCCGGTGGCGAGCGGCTGGCTTTTGAGAATCCGCACCAGGAAAACACGCTCGTCTGTCTGCCCACTCGCGGCACCTGCGCAGGAGGCCGCGGTGGCGGCAGGCGCGTCTACATCAATCAATTTGCAGCCCGAACCCAAGGGAGGTGCCCGGGAGCTGGACCGACAAATATTTTAGCCTCAAAATTAATACTCATTTTGTGTCCCTACCTTTCTCCTCCTTTTGTTGCCTAAGCCAGGATTCATGATCTGGGGGCAGGGCAGAGGAGGCGGACGTGGAGACATCACTCCTTTACTCGCTTCCCTCTCTGCATCTTCCTGTCTGGCTCATCCTTGCTCTGTAATTGGAGGCCTCTGCTTGGTGACATCCGGCCATCCAGCGTCCCTGAAGTCCGGCTGGTTCCAGAAATCTGAAGCTGCACCTGCAGCTCACTCTGGCATGCAGCTCACATACTCCTGGGGCCCCGCAAGAACCAGCAGATGACCTGTGGCCTCGCACACTTGGAACCTGCTGGCCACGTCGCGCTGTAATCGGCTCGAGGGTGAGGCCAAGGTTCCGTGTCTGAGATCCAAGGAGTAAGGACAGCCCATGGCAAAGGCCGGCCACGTCCAGGGCAGCGTTTCTCAAACTGCGGGTCGTGATCTGTTGGCAGGTGGAGAAATCAATTGAATGGGTTGTGATCAGCAGTATTTTTTAAGTCACAGAGAGGGTACAGGGTAGAGAACATCAGAGCCCACACAAAGGCAAGGCAAGTGCCATTTCAGGAAGCTTTTGTTTCGGATACAAACGCCCGTGAGCGTGCGTGTCACCATGTAAACTGCATTTCCCTGGGTCACGGTCCAAAAGTCTAAAAGCCACTCCTGTAAAGCTGCGTCACGGATGTGTCTCGGCCCCTCAAGGGACGGGTCACAATTCATCACTGCTCAGGTTACAGTGCCCTTGTTGGCAACGATCGCTGCGGCTCTGAAGCTGGTGCAGATTCAAACAGTCTCGTCAGGAATGTCGGCCACGTTCAGAGGACTGCAGAGAACTTTCCAGGTGGAGGAGAAACGCAGGCAGGCCCAGGCGGCCCCTGACATGCGCTCACCCGCGCTGATCATGCACCCAGCCCGCGCGGGTCACACCTATGACCGGCACCCAACACCCGAGGGCAGTGGGAAACGGGGGCCAAGGGCGGTGGTCTTAGAGGTGGGCCCTTGGCACGAGAGGCTGGCAGGGAGACATGGGGGCACGCCCCGGGTTTGGGACGCCCTGGTCCAGGGCAAATGAGAGTGTGGATGTGAGGGGTGAGATGCTGGCCTTCGGGCATGGGGTGTGGGTCAGACCACCCACTCCGCTGCTCGAGGCCGCCTGACTTCTGGCCAGTGTCAGGGCTTCTGTCCACTGTAACGAAGAGGGGGGCCAGGGCGACACAGAACAGGGCCGCCGGGGTTGGGGTGAGGATTTGGTGAGTACTGTGTGCCCTGGACGAGGAGGACCCAAGGACAAGCATCTGCCATGGTCGGCTCTCAGCACCCGTCGGTCTTGGCCACTCTGCCCGTCCATCCAATGTCCAGTTTCATGCCCTGCCCGTGCCCGGAAGCCTGGCACCCCCACTTTCTACTTCCTGATAGTACTAACCGGAAAAACAATAGTGATGGCAATAATAATACCAGCTATTGTGCCATTTGCTCCTCGCTGAGGTCCTGGGAGGCGGGGCTTATCAGGGGGTGAGGAAAGTGGACCAGAGCAGAGGGATGATTTACCCAGGCCACTCTGCAGGTAAACGCGGGGCCCAGGACCCTGCCCTTCCTCCAGGGCCTCTGGTTAGGCCCCCTGGGATGGCTCAGGGAGGAGAGGTGCAGGGCCTGGGCTGGAAGGAGGACACGTGTGGCCTGGGGCAGGGGCTGAGGGGGCGGGGAGGGGAGGAGACCCCCTCTGGGCTGCATTCCGCAGCTGGCATCACTGCGCTCTGCCTGCGTGCCAGGCCCTGCGCTTATTCTCGGTGGACCGCCACAGCCTTTGGGGGAGGTGCTACTATGGTCCCCATTTGACAGATGCGGAAACTGAGGCTCAGAGAGGTGTGGTAACTCCCCAGAGCTCTAGAGCCCGGGTCTGTAACCCCTGCTCCCCACCCCCGACCCCTCTCCCCAGTCCCCCAGAGTCCCCCCTCCGGCAGACACGGGCTCCCAGCTGCCCGACGCCTTCTCAGGGGAATGTCGGAGCTTCTGCCGGGATCAGGCTGTTCAAAGGGCGCGTGCTCTGGGTCCGGATCCGCAGCCATCAATAGCTCCCCGCGCCTCTCAGATCTCCCTGAGCCTGATCGAATTTCCTTCCGAGCGCCGGGCTCTCCTGAGGACTTCCGTCCGCATTTCGGGGGCGGGCGGGCCGGGTTTGAGGTGGTGGAGCCGGAGAGAGAGGGGTCATCTCCTCCCGCCCCCTGACGTCAGGGCTGCCCAAAGGCTGTGACGGACGGGTCCCCGCGGACCGCCGCGGAGCATCCGGGCAGACGCCGCGCCGGCCGTTCCAGGCGGCTGAAATCAGGCTGCTGAGTAATGGAACTGGCGGCCGCCGGCGCCGCAGCCACATCTCTAACCTCCGAGGCGGCACGGACGGCGGTGCTGCCTCTGCAAACGAGCGGGGAAGAGGCTGGTTCAACAGAAAGGGGGCGGGCGGGCGGGGCGGGGGGAGCGCGTCGTCAGCCGAGCTTGTAAACTCCGGCCGGACCAGCGTGGTGCTTATTTCAAAGCAATTTAACCGATGGGATTCCCGGCTCCCAAATCAGGAATGTTGTTAAGATGAGGGACGGGCGCAGCTCGCTGCTGCTCGGCCCGGAGTCACATGCTGCGGCCGCGGCCTCCTCGTCCTCCCCGGAGAAGTGGCTGGAGCTCTGGTTTCTCAAGCCCCAGGGACCCCCTGCCCGGTTGTTTTTTTTTTAATGGGGGGGGGGGGGCCCTGCGTGACTCTGGGGAGGCATTATGAGAGATGGAGCTCCAGAGGCCAAGCCTGTGTGTGAGCGCGTGTGTGTGTGTTCTCGATTTTTAAAGGCTAGAGAATGGGTTTTGTTCGGTTTTGTTTTGACCTGGGAGAAGACAGCGGGACCCTTGCCCAGCCCCATTATTATTTAACCCGTGGGGAAACTGAGGCCCGAGCAGGCCCAGTGCAGGTCCCACAGCGAGGCCGCAGAGGTGGGCCCGGGCGCCGGGTGTTCTCCACCCCGCCCCTCACCGCTCCACCGTGATTCCCTCCTGAGGGGACCTCTCGGGGCCTGTGGCATCCGGTCTGTCCCCCCTCGGGCCACCCCAAGGCTCCTGGGCTCCTGCTCTGCTCCGGGCCGGGGCCGGGGGCCCCCGGGGCGGTGGGTGCCAGCTCTCCATCCCCCTCCTCCCTTCGCAGGTGTTCCAGCGCCGGGAGGATGGCTCCGTGAACTTCTTCCGCGGCTGGCAGGCCTACCGGGACGGCTTCGGCAAGCTCACAGGGGAGCACTGGCTAGGTGAGATGGCTGAGCCCGCCCCAGGGGGGACGCTCTCCCCCTGTGCGGCCTGGACCCAGGGGGCTCTCCCCGGCCGCGGCGGGCCTGTGTGGCTCACAGCCGCTGCGGTCGATGCTTTCAGTGTGAACGAGGTCAGCTAGCAGGAAGCCAGAGCAGTGGCTCCGCGGAGATGTGTGCTTTTCCCGGGGTCCTGGGCCCTGGCCGCTGGGGTGGGGCCAGCTGTGGCAGGCGCCGGGCTCAGTTCTAGGCGCCAGGAGGACCAGGGGACCCAACACTGCCTTACCCTCGGGGTCAGCAATGCCCGATGGCTGTGCTCTGGACACCAAGGGCCCAACTCCCCAAAAAGCAGCCAGTCCGTGCTCCCGGGCACGGTTCCCACCACCCCCATGGCACAGCGGCCCGCTTCCCACGGCTGGCACCGACTCCTTGCCTGGCACGGACTCCTTGCCTGGCACAAAGTCAGGGCAAAAAGCTTATGTTACTACTATTGTTGTTACTATTATTTACTTACTGTTTATCTTTAAATTCGCTCAGTATTTTAAAATTTGACTGTCTTACGTAATTTTATTCTGAAAAATAACATCCATAAAAATCACAGGGCTGAGGTCCTGTAGGTATCTGGGGGAGAGCTGTGGCTTGAGGTGAGGCTGGGTTTTGTGTGTGTGGTATAATTCCCCATTTTAAAGTGTACAATCAGTGGTTCTCAGTATATTCACAGAGTTGTGCGACCATCCCACCATCTAATTCCAGAACATCTTCTCCACCCCAAAAAGAAAGCCGGTGGCCCCATTAGCAGTCACCCCGTTATATTTTGACATATATTAAAATAAGCATGGGGCACTGGGATGACGTGTTCCCCTGAGCATCCTTTGAAGGACCCAGTACACCCCTCGGTATGCCTGTCCCACGTTAGTGTCCCTGGGCACTGGTATCTGGGCATGGCCCCCAGCCGGGCAGGAGGGAGAGGAGGTCAGAGCACAGGTGTGAGGGGGTGGCCAGCAGGAGCACCGCCCGGAGGGCTGAGTGCCGAGGTCTGGACTCCAGGTGGGAGTCAGGAGGGTCCCAGGTCTGTAAGGACTTTCAGTGGACCCCTGGGGGAAGGGGAGGGTCAGCCCCAGGGGCAGGGTCCGGGTGCGTGCCCACTGCTCTGGGTACGCTGTCCTTTGCTTAATGTCCGTCTCCCCTGACCTGGGGTCCACGAGGGCAGGACTTTCTCTGCCCTGACCTCCGCCGCGTCCCCAGCACCCAGGCAGCTACTGGCCACAGGAGAGGCCAGACACCCCGGTGTGGACTCCATGACCACTGTCCCCACTTACTGTGCACCTCCTGTGTGCCCAGCCTGTGGGGAGCATTTCACGTGCACTGGCCCAACACCTCACGCCCAGCCTAGGCCGGTGGCAATGCTGTTGTCCTTCTCTTTTGTGGATGATGAAACAGAGGCTCAGCAATGGAGGCCGCTTGGCACAAGTGACACGAGTCACAATCGAGTGTGTGTGTGTGTGTGTGTGTGTGTGTGTTGAGGTGGGGGAAGCCCAGCCAAGCTTTGAACTGTACCCTCAACTGAATGAATAAAAGCAGAGGCAGGATGGGGGTCGGGTGAGAGAGAAGCTTCTAAGAAGGGAGACCCTTCACCCATCCCCCTGCCCCAGGTGCGTGTGTAAAGACAGAGAGAAGGTGGCCAGGTGGGGGCCCTGTTCCCGCACCACCACCCGCCCCTTGGAGCAGTGTGGGTGCCGCTGCCGCTCGGCGGCATCTTAATTGAAATCTATCGGCAGCCACCGAGGGTGCAGAGGAAGCATTTAAGCGGGGTCTTGATTAGCTCCCAGCAGCCAGGGAGCCTGATGAGAATGTCAACTCGGGCCCAGCCCTCAGCTCCCCTGCGCTCCCTCCCTCTGCTTTTCCACACTGCCGTCCCCTCCTCCTCGAGTGTTTTGTCTTTTCCTGTTGAGTTACAGGAGCTCTTTACATATTAAGGTATTGATCCTTTGTCAGATACACATGATACATATTTACTCATTTATCTTTCAGCTTTTTTTTTTGTAACATTATTGCTTATTTCCTAGCAGTTTAAAATTTTTATGTAGTCAATTATTGCCCATCTTTTCCTTTCATATCTTCTGCATTTTAGGCTCTGTTTTCCCCTCCCGGTTTTATTTAAAATGTCTCTTGTAATTTTTCCAATGCTTTTCTGGTGTTATGCGTTAGGCTCAGCCCTTTAATCCCTCTGGGAGTTCGCTGGGGTGACCGTTTCCCCTGGCCATTTTCATCCACTGGCTCCTCCTTCCTTTTGCTCTGCAACTGGAACCCTGATGGATGATGGGGTCGAGTGTCGGCTCACCATCCAGGGGCCCGCGGAAGCGGGGGTCGAGAGTATCCTGGCAGATCAACAGGGCTGGAGAAATGCAGGGCGAACAAGGGAGGGAAGGTGACCGAGAGAGAGGGAGGGTGACGGGGGGGTGACCGAGGGAGCGACAGCAGTGGGATTCAAGGGAAGAAGGGTGGAGATGAGGGTGAAGTGAATCCAAGGCCCCAGCATCCCCGCCTCGCCCTCCTTCAGGGCACCCCGCCCAGGGGCTCATGGGGGGGTCTTTGGGCACCAGCAGCCATTCAGGGGTGGGGAACGGAATCTTCCAGCATCCCCACTGGGCTGGTCTCCTTCTTGCCCTATTCCTGATTCAGATTATTCGTCCTGAGCAAGAACTGAATAAGAGCAAGGAGTCTGGGCCTGGGTTCAAATCCCAGCTCCACCACTTACCAGCTGTGTGACCAGGGCCAGTTCCTTAACCTCCCTGTGCCTCATTTCCCTCACCTCTGAAACACGGACAATCATAGCGCCTGCCTCACTGGATCGATCGTGACGGCCGTGGCAAACGCCTGGATAACGTGTGCAATGGGCTGGGCACTGTTCTGAGAGCTGAACAGGATTCTTTAATTAAACTGGACTCCTTCTAATTGCGCTGGACTCATTACTCCACAGGAAGCTCTCAGAACAGTGCCTGGCATTTTCGAGTGCTGTCCATGTGGTGGCTGTTGCCATTGTTGCCTGTCGCCTGCCTCCTGCCCTTTACAGTGTGTGAGGTCCTGCTGGCCCCTCGCATCAGCCCTGGGAGGGGTGCTGCACAGGTGTGCAAGCTGGGCCCAGAGAGGGAGAGCGGCTCACCTGGAGCCCCCAGCCCGGGGAGGAGAGGAAGGCGAGGGCCCCGGGCTGCGGTGGGAGATGCTGGGCAGGTCCTGCATGACCTGCGCCCGGCTCCTTCTCTCAGCCCTGGCCCTGGATGACGGGACCAGAGGCCTCCCTCTGGGCTGGCCGGGGGTGGGTCGGCCCAGCTCTGACAGCCATCGCAGGCACAGGCTGACCCACGACGTGGGGCGTGGGGCTCAGGCAGGGACGGCGGGAGGGGGAGGCTGCGGAGGTGTCACTCGAGGCTGATGACTATCATCAGGCGTTCATTAAACGCCCTCTGAATCGAGACGTAATCCAACGGCAGGGAAGCACCTGGAGGGAGGGAGCGCGCGCGCGGGCGCGCGCGCGTGTGTGTGTGTGTGTGTGTGTGTGTGAGAGAGAGAGAGAGAGAGGGCGAAAGGGGGAGAGAGGAAGGGCCGGGGGAGGCCTGGGGTGAGACCCCAGGATGCAAGGAGAGCTGAGGACGGGAGGACGGAGGGAGGAAGTGGGATGGGGTGTGTTGGGGGGGGGTTATGGAGCTGGGGTACAGTATTCCTCTGAGGGGAGAGGCCCTCCACCGTGACAGGGGGTCAGGCAGCCTTCCTGAGGAGGTGAGACCTGAAAATGAACAGAAGGTAACCAGCTGAGGAGGAGTGAGGGAAAAGTGTCAAAGTGTCCGAGGCAGAGGGAACAGCATGCGTAAAGGCTCAGAGGCCAGGATCAGGGAAGTGCGTGCGAGGATCAGAACCTGCCTGGCTGGAGCCCGGAGTATGAGAGAGGATTAGGTGCCATGGCCCTCAACGCAGAAGGTTTTCCAGATTCCTCCCGACTCCTGCAGTTTTTCTACCAGCCTTCAGCTCAAAACATCTGGAAAGTGCAGCCTGGCTTACAGCAGAGAAAGCCTGAAACTTGAACACCTGTCAGTCCTCAGTTTCCGGCCACCTGGCCCACAGGAGGAAAGCAGCAGCCTAGGGCTGACAGCATACACTTGGGGGTGGTTGTCCCTTTCTGTCACCAACCACATGAGCTCAGCTCTCGTTTCTCCTTGGTGTTCTCCGGGGAGGCCACCCCCTCACCCCCATTGTCGCCCCCTCTCCAGGGCTCAAGAGGATCCACGCGCTGACCGCACAGGCCGCCTACGAGCTCCACGTGGACCTAGAGGACTTCGACAACGGCACGGCCTACGCCCACTACGGCAGCTTCGGCGTGGGCCTGTTCTCCGTGGACCCCGAGGAGGACGGGTACCCGCTCACCGTGGCCGACTACTCGGGCACCGCAGGTAGGGCGCCAGGCTGCCGCAGGGGACAGGCCGGGGGCAGCCCACCCGCCTCCCCCCCCGGGAGGACATAGGAAGTCCTGCCTGCTGGGTCCAGTGCTTCCGGCCTCTGGGGTCAGGATCAAGGCTTCTCACCTCCACCTCCACGTCCCGCCTGGTCTGCATCCCAACCACGAGAGGCCAGCAAGGCCTGGACAGGTCACCCATTTTGCAGATGAGCAAAGGGAGCCGAGAGCCAGGAGCCAGGACAGTGGGGTTTGGGCTCTGCTGGGCCTCTCAGGGGTGGTGGCAGAGCCCCTCTGGGCTGGGTTTCTCCTCTCAGGCCCAGGCAAGAAAGCAAGGAAAGGGAGCATGTGTAGAAGCTGGGAGGAGGGGTAGAGACTGCCTAGTCCCAGGGACAGCGATGGGGACCCCCAGGTGGCACCGTGGGTGCATGTGAGCTCCATGGACACCATAGGTGTGGCGGGGCAGGTGTGTCTTCACACGTGTGCACCAGTGTGTATATGAGGGGGCACGTGTGTACGTGTGTGCTCATGCACGTCCAGGGGAGTGCACTGCAAACACGTAGCTGTGCTCGCACGGCGCACCTGTGCCCCCGTGGTACACACCTGTGTGTGCGCGCCTGCGCAGGGGACTCCCTCCTGAAGCACAGCGGCATGAAGTTCACCACCAAGGACCGCGACAGTGACCACTCGGAGAACAACTGCGCCGCCTTCTACCGCGGCGCCTGGTGGTACCGCAACTGCCACACGTCCAACCTCAACGGGCAGTACCTGCGCGGCGCGCACGCCTCCTACGCCGACGGCGTCGAGTGGTCCTCCTGGACCGGCTGGCAGTACTCGCTCAAGTTCTCCGAGATGAAGATCCGGCCGGTCCGAGAGGACCGCTAGACCGGTGCCCTCAGGCCCCGCCCCCGCCCCATCCCCATGCCCCGCCCCGCCCCATCCCGCTCCTGCTGGAATGTTCCACCCGCTGGCGCATGGCTGACCGGCTTGGGCCGGCTAACGACACTGAGTCACCCTGGGCGGGGAGGTCACACGTCACCTCCACGCTGTCCCCACCCGCCCAATTTGCCTCTGCTGATGAGGGGCCGGGCAAACGACCCCATATTCTACCTGCCAGACTTTGGCTCCCGGGCTGTCTGCCGTCTCCTGGCCGGGAGTCTGCCACGCGCCCGGCAGGCCCCTCCAGTCCGAACACGCGGAGTTCCGGGGTGCGGAGAAGGGCAGATACACCCCTGGAGCCCCTTTAGCCGATCAGAGCACATGGATCTTTCTGAGTCGGATGGATCCGAGGCCAGCTCCTCTGGCCCGCCCGGCCCCTCCCTCGTTTCCATGGTGCCTGGAGCTCCCACCTCTCCCCCCAGGACTGGGGTGTGGCTGATGCTGGGGCTGCCTGAGGCCTTGGGCTGGGGCGATGAATCCTGCCGTGACCCCAGGCCAGGCTGGTGCAGATGCCTGCGGAGACTCACGCCCCGAGGTGACCCCCCCCCCATCCACCCTGTGTCCCCGCAGGCCTGGAGGTCTCCAGTCCCCTCGGCTGCCCTGCCCAGCCCCCTGCCTTCCTGGGGCAGCGCAGCCGCCCCGCCCATGTTCTTCTGCCCCAGGAGGTGGAGGCAGGTCTTGTACCACTGGGCGGATGAGGGCTTCTTGATTTTCGGGGCTGCACCACCCCCACTACTGATTTCCAGGGACTACAGGACCCCGGGCCTCCTGGGAGCAGGCCTGGAGTGTGGAGGCTGGACCTGAAGGGGTTTGGTGGCTGTCACCCCATCAACCTGGAGACTGCTCTCTCAGTGGGGAGGTGGCCCCCTGCTGTGACTGTAGATGCTGCCACCTCGGGTCGGGGGAAGGGACCTCACTGGGCAAATGGGGGAGACTGAAGCACCGGCCAGGCCCTCAGAGGCATTTTCTCATTGAGTCTGCCCAGTGTGCTCTCATTGGCGCCCTTCCCTCCTGGCCCCCAAGAACCACAGGTTCCCAAGGTCAGTGCTGCAAAGGGCAGGGTGGGTGCCAGCCCTCAACCCTGCTCAGCAGCCTCAGGCCCCTGACGCCTGTGTGGTCAGAACCGAGTGCAGGGCTGTTTCTCGAGTTCCCGCCTAGGAGGACCTGATGGGGGCCTGTGAGAGGGCTGGGGAGTCAGCCTGGGGAGCTGCCCAGCCGGGGGCACCCTGGTGACCCCTCCCCAGGCAGGAGGGAGGGGGTTTCCCTCACAGGACACCCGAAGGCAGGTGAAGGCAGGTGAACGGGGGCTGTGGAGTTCAGCTCTCCTTTCCCCTTCTGCTGCAGTTTGTGCTTCAATAATAACAAGTCGGAGTTGGCCAGGGGCAGCAGGAAAGTTCCAGAGTGCCACTGGCTGGCGTGCGACCTGGCCAGTCCCCTCTCACCCCACCTGGTCAGCGGCATTCAGCAAAGGTTTGCTGAACACCCGCTGTGGGCCAAGGCCTGCCCTGGGTGCCGGACAGGGTCACCTGCCCTCTTGGCACTCAGCTGGAAGCAGAGACGGCCCAGAAATGGGGGATCACAGCCCAGTGTGACCTGGGCGAGGGGGGTGGGTCAGCGTGGAGGAAGATGTGAACAAGATGACACCTGCCGGCCCCCTTCTCCATCCTCTAGAAACCAAGGGCCAGCCCAAACCAGTGGCCTGGACCCTCAGCCAAGGAGCAGAGGCTGCGTCCTCATCCCGGGGAGCCCCCCTCTGCCCCCCAGCCCCAGGCTGGAGCCGGCTTCTGCCGAGCCTTGCAGAGCCAGCCACTGTTTAGAAGGTGCCAGGCGCTTTCTGATCTGTCATCAAACAGTTCCTGGTGAGTGTGATGTTAAGGGATTCGCAGATGTGCGTGTGCGTCAGGAGGCTCAGGGGCGCTCGTGCCAGGGCTTGGCCATGGAACAGACATGCCGAAGCTGGACCTGGCGGGCGGACAGGCAAGGGCGGCCTTCAGGAGCCTGTGGTCCAGGTCTCAGCATCAGGACGACCTGGAGACACCCACTCCTTCCTGTCTGGGAGCACCGGCCCCATGCCTAGCCCAGGCCTGGCACCACTAGGGGACATGGCAGGACCAAACACTGGCTGGTGGGCACAAAGCCCGTCAGGGAAGGGACAGCCAAGGCCAGCACACCCCCTGTCCTAAGGGGCACCCCTGCAAAGGCGGTGCTGGGCACAGACAGGCCCTGCACACCGCTCGGGGCCAGGAGGCTCTAGTCTCAAGGAGCCCACAGTGTGATGTCAGCGTGAATAGCCGTCACGGGAGATGGGCATGGCCACAGGAACAAGGGGATGCTGGGAGAGCCAGGGGCAGGGGCAGCTCCACTGAGACCTGGGGGATGACAGACATGTGCAAAGGGTCACCCAGGTCCTGTGGTCACTATACCTGAACCCTGACCCATGGGGCCCGAGTTGATGGTTTGATGGTGGGGTGCCTGTGGCCCCCCTATGCCAAGGCACCTGCCCCTGTCCTTCTTCCTTTGATGAGGAGCGAGCCAAGCAGGGAGGGGTCTGTACACCGGGGTCTTGAGGTGGTGCATGTGTTGTCCCAAAAGCTTCTGGAAGTTCCTTTCCACAAGCGCAGGTAGGTTCTGTGGAGCCAGCCAGTGGCCTCATTCCTTGTCCTCCAGACTGGGTACATCTCTGAGAGTTGAACCAGAGGCCAGTTGGCTGGCCACCTGAGCTCCCCAAGTCCGGAGGATGGACGGACCTTGTGTTTCCACCGGGATGGCTTCTGCACCGTCAGCCGGGAAATGAGGACTGAGCTGGGAGCGGTTCTCAAGTTGCAGGCCCCCTGCAGCCCTGTAAATAGGTTGTATAATGGCTGTCTTGGGGCAGAAGCGAGGGCCCCAGTACCCACCTCTTGCTGGTCACCCCCACCCATATCCACGCAGGCCTCTGGCTGGCCTGGCTGCGGCCGGAGCCCGGAGGCTGAGCCCTGTCACCCAGGACTCACAGGCTTAGTGAGGCGTGTCAACAGCAACTGCCAGCTGCATCCGCTACACCGGGAGGAGCGGGAGGAGGGGGGGATGCCCTGTGTGCTGACATGGGGGACAGGGAGACATCAGCAAGGCCCACGGTCCTGTGGAGTTTGAAGAGCAACATGCTGGCAGGAGGACACGTTCGGGGATGTGCTGAGCCCAGAACAAAGGACACTAGGCGTTCGTCCAAGTGGCCGGGGCCTCCACTTCTTCATGTGCTTGCAGGGAGAGGGCTGTCCCCAAACAGAGTGGGCCAAGCAGCAGGCAGGACTCTGCACACCTGGAGGGCTGAGGCTGGACTTCGGTGGGACTGCGGGCGTGACAGGGAGTGGGGACGGGGCTCTGACCTGGGGTCGGCCACATTAGCCTCCCACCGTGCCAAGAGGCATGCCTGACTGTCCACAAGGCTGGCAGGTGTGTGGGGGGCGCCAGGGTGGGGAGGGGACCCCAGGGCCAGCATGTCTCTGACAGACAGAGCATGGTGTTGGACAGTGCTAGGCTGGGCTGCGTGCACCTGGTGTCCCGTGTGTTCCTGTCCCCAATAAAGTCTCATGGTGACCTGGCCCGGCTCCGCCTCTAACCCTGCCTGGGGCCCCACATCAGAGCACGGGGTGGGGCGGGCACCCCAGCCTCCAGGACTGCCTCCATACCACTTGCCCAGTCCTCTCCCGTTTTTATTTCTACCCAGGAGACAGGGTTTCCCAGCAGCTCGGAGCCCCAGGAGCAGAGCCAGCTGCACACCTGGCAGCAGCCCGGGGCCCAGGGCAGCGACCCCGCCTCCCTGTGAGCTGCACCCAGTGCGGTGTGTCCTCTGCGGGCCGGGCTTCAGGGGATGAACCTGGCCCACTCTGTCTGTGCATCCCACCAGGGTCTCCAGGGTGACAAACTGCCCCTGTGGGTCTCTCTTGGGGCTGCGGCTGGAGTCCTGAGGAGTTGAGACTCTTTTTTAGGAACAACAGTCCCTCATGACTATTTATTCATAACACGAATTTGAAGCTTAAGGACAAAACAATCCCGAGTGTATTTAATGAGATGATTTACCGCGTGCCGTGGCGGAGGCCCCATGCAGGCAGGGGGAGTGGGTGTACTGAGCATCCCGGCCTCGGCCAACCTGCGGGGAGAGGCCGCTGGCCAGCCACCCGGCACAGCAGAGGCCTGTCTGGGCGGCGGGAACACGGGTCCCCTCCGCAAAGTGTTCTTGGCCATCAGGCCTGCAGCCCTGTCCCCCCACCCCCCGCTCCCTCTCATGGGGCCCAGAGGGACACTGGGGATGGGACCCTGGGCCAGGTCATGGGAGTGAGGTGATGATGGGCACTGCTTCCCCACAGGCCACACCCGCCCTAAGTGGGGTCACTGCCCAGCCTGGCCCCTCACCTGCAGCCACCACACCTCCCCCATGGCAGTTCCTTAGCAGGCACCTGCTCTGGTTCGGCTCACGGGGCCAATCGGAAAGATTCAGGGAACTCAGTCACACGGAGATTCTTAGAGCTGACGATGGGGACCTGCATCTTACCTACAAACAGCGCAGGAGGCAGCACGGGGAGAGGTTCCCCCAGCAGGAGGGCACCACCAGCGCTGTGGGGAGCTCTGAGAGAGAAGGCAGCCCCGGGAGGCCCTGCTTACGAAGAGGGTGTCGTCTGGGCTCTCCTGAACACCAGCAGCAGCCAACAAGCATTGAGTAGGTACTGCAACCCCCCCACCCCCCACCCCCCACCCCCCACCCCCCACCGTCTTCTCCAGTAGCTCACAACCCCTGTGATGCCGGCACTGCTGTTGTCCCCAGTCAGGGAGAAACAGGCTCAGAAAGTGACATGACTTGTCCGTGGCCACAGCTGATGCGTGGCTGAGCGGGTGTGGGACCCAGTTCTAGGGGCTCATGGGTGGCTAAAGTGTCATGGGAGGGGGTCCGAGTCAGGGGCCTGCACTTAACACAGCCAGGCTGTGTCACCCCACCAGGTCCTGCCCCTGACAAGTCCCAGCGCAGGCTTAGAGAAGCAAGGACAGGCGTGTCTCAAGGAGCCCAGGCTGCTGGTCCACTTGGACACCTGCCATGGGGCCCTGATGCTCCTCCAGGACGGCTTCCCAGGGACCCTCACTCCCAGGGTAAGAAGGCGGGCCCCTTGGGTCCCCCCAAAGCTGCAGCCATCCCCCACATTCACCCTGAAGCTGTGGAAGGCTTTGTTGCCAGACGCCAACCCTGAATGGCCCCTGCTGCTCTCTGCAGGACCAGCCTGGGCTGCCCCAATGCTCCTGCCCCGAGTCTCGGTGGTGGCAGAAACAGTGTCACAGTTGTCACCCCCAACGGCTCAAGAGTGGGGTCTCATTCCCTGGAATGCACTTGAAAACAATCTTTTGGGCCAGGTGTTCCGGGGGGCACCTGGCAAGCCCCCAGAGTTGGGAAGTTTGGTACCAGATCCGACACTGGCCCCTAAGAGGCAGCCTTGGCCTCAGTGACAGATGCCCCTCGAAAGGCTCCAGAGCCAGTGAACTGCAGGACTAACGCAGCCTCTCACCCTCCTGGAGTGGAAGGCGGTCGCCAGCTTCACAGGCGTCTGACTGCCCAGGCCCAGGGCAGGAGGGGTGCTGCCCCAGGCCCTCTGTTGTGTGCCTGGGCTCCCACAGGGGTGACTCTGGCCTCAGAAAGCTCACAGCCCCCGGAGAGATGGACACACGCCAGCAGTCTCAGCACCTGCTCCAGTCGGCACATGGGCACACCCTCTGGGCGCAGCCTCTGCCCACACCAGCCCACTGAGCCCTCGCCCTCACCCAGAGCCCAGTCACCCCTCAGAGGGGCCCACAGTCAACCCACTGCTGTTCTTTTTTCTTGAAGGTTTCTCTGGTGTGGGTTTTCTGCACTCTGACTAAAGGCTTTTCCACACTCCTTACAGATAAAGGGTTTCTCTCCTAAGTAATTTTTTGTTTAGTTTGGTTTTCATTTGTTTGTTTTTGGTGAGGAGGATTGGCCCTGAGCTAACATCTGTGCCCATCTTCCTCCATTTTCTATGTGGGAAGCTACCACAGCATGGCTTGATGAGCGTTGTGGTCTGTGCCCAGGATCTGAACCTGCGAACCGTGGGCGGCTGGAGGGGAGTGTGCAAACTTAACCACTACGCCACTGGGCCAGCCCCAACCGCCTGCCTTTTCTTGGCCCTGTTGTCTTCAGACAAGGCCGAGGGTAACCAGTGCTTCCTGCTGCGGCCGAGGCTGGAGAGCAGGAAGGGGCGGGGGCTGCTCCTGACTGCCTGACTCGGACCCTCGGATTCTCAGTCCCCCGACTCCAGCACGAGGGTAAAGAGTCCAGCCCCTTTGTCAGGTGGCTGGGGCCGGGGACATGTCCACAAGGCCGTCTGTATTGCCATGTGGGTGGTGGCCCCGTGGGGTGGTTTTCCAGCCCTGAGCACCCCACAGGCAAAGGTGACAGGCAGACAACTGCAGGGCGGCCGCAGCCTCACCGAGCACCTGCTCCCCTCGCTGCCCGCTCACTCTCAGTGGAGGTAAACCTGGGTCAGGCCAGACCAGAGGCTGGGGGCTCGGCTGGGCCATCTCGGCTCCTCCTGCGGGTCTCCCCATGGGCGCTTGGACACGGTGCGGAGTCACTGGCACAGCGGCGGGACAGGAGGCAGGGAGGGGAGCTCCTGGCACCACCTGCAGGCAAACGTCTGCCCCGGTGCTGGGCCCACTGTCCCCCTTGGCCGGTGCCTGGAGAACATTGCAGAGCACTCTGCCCAGCTGTACCCTGGCTCAGCTGCACAGACCCCCATGCCCAGAACAGACCCAGGAGCGCTCTGTGATCACACACAGGACAAGCAGAGGGATGCATCAGCACCCTGAGGTGTGAACAAGTGGCCCCGCCTAGATCAGAGTGGATCTCACAGGAACGTGTGAGCCCACAACGCAGCCCCTCCAACCTCACACTCCACCACAAGGATGTGGTGTGGGTGACAGCACGGGACGTTCCCCTCTCTGGCCTGGGAGCTCACCTGAGGAGAAACCACCTGGGAGTGAGTGGCTGAGGAGTGACGAGCGCTACTGTCCTCCACACTGAGCGCCATGGGAAGAGCTGGAGCAATGACCATGACAACCTTCCCCCCAGCCCTTGCCAAGCCCCACACTGGGCTAACAGCTCATCTCCATGACTTACCACCACAGCCAGCCCAGTTCTGAAACATTCGCTCCTCTGTCCGTCTTTTCCCAAATGGACGTCAGATACCGAGCCCTGCACTGGGTTGTGGTGGCAGGAAGACCGAGCTTCCCTTCTGAGGAACAAACCAGCTGGTTGGGGGCCCTGAGGGCTGGAGAGTGGGGCTTGCCCAGGTTGGGCCCCGTGCCCCTTCCACGCCCTCATGGGAAGCAGAGGTCCCCTGCCTGGCTCAGCCTCTGGGCGCGGACGCCCCTCGAAACGCTCCAGAGCCAGTGAACTGTGGCACTAACGCAGCCTCTCACCCTCCTAGAGCAGAAGGCTGTCGCTGGCTTCATGGGCGTCTGACTTCCCGGGCCCAGGGCAGTGGTGCCGGCTGGGCAGCCGCTGTGTGAGGCGTGGACAACCACTCACCCAACAGCCTCTCTGGAGAGCCAGGCAAACCCAACAAAGGCAGGACCATTAGGTCTTAAGGGTGAGCATCGATCGATGCCTCCTCCGAGGGACTCGAGGGTCTATGCTGGACCAGTTAATGATGCTGCCCATTCTCCTGTGAATGAGGCAGGTCTCTAGGAAAAGGGCGCCTGTCTGCCCCTCATCAGACCACATCCTGTTTGTGTTGGGTCTTTTATCAATGTAGTCAGCACTGTCCCCTCCTTCACCACCAGCGTCCCCAATGGGATCCCAGGGTCAGGAATGCACAGCAATCAAGTCCCCACACAGCGGCAAGTCCTTCCCAGGGGCCTATATAAAGCAGGGAGAACCCGGGAGGCACAGTTCCTGGACAAGAACCCAGAGGAGCCCTGTCCAGTCGGCCCTGGTGTCCAGCAGCCCTCCTGGGGAGCAGGCCCTCAGCATGGTGAGTACAGCCGCTCCATCCCCACAGGAACCCCACTCGGGCGCTCCCGCTCCAGGTGAGGAGCTGGGCACGGGCAGCCCGAACCACAGGGAGCCACGGGACTGGGAAGGCCTGGAGAGTGGAGCCCAGCACTCAGGCTGTGGCCCAGAGCGGTGCAGAGACTGGCCACAGCAGCCCCCAGAGCTCAGCCTCCGGCCTTCCGTCCAGGGCTTTTCCCACCATGTCTCCGACATTGGGACCTGAAGCTCTGACTTGTCCTGGGGCCCAATTTTTGGTGGCAAGTGTCCCAAGCTTCCACTAGGCTCTCAAAGAGATCCATGTCTCCCTGAAAGGGGACAGGCCACTTTGTTCTGTGTATCGAGATGCCCCCTTTCTTGAGACCCAGAGGCCAGTCCCCAGTGGATTCATCCACCAGGTGGAATCCGCTGGGGTCCAAACAGCTGTCAGCTGTGCTTTCTATGGGGAGACGGCCCCCCTCTGCCCAGGCCCTGATGGAGAGGCTGCCCCCCAGCAGGCAAGAGGTCGCTCTGGCCCCAGGAGATGCGGGAAGCTTAGGAGGGCTAGATTTGCGTAGAGGAGGGCTGCTTTTATCGTTTTTTAAAGCTTTCTGGCCGAGTTCACTTTGAAATGTCTTCAAGGGAGCCGTTTCTGGACAGAGCTCTGGGGAGTCCTGTGCTCTCTTCTCCAGGACCGGCTCTCTTCATTCCAGCCTCAGAGGCCCTCAGAGGCTCCTCAGAGGCCCAGCCGGCTCCCGCTCGGCCATCACCAAAAAGGCCTCCTTGGTGAGGGAAGGAGCAGTGATGGCCGAGGCAGGGACATTTGGGGAGGCTCTCCTTCTAGTTCAGCCCCCTGTGGGCCACGATCTGTGGGATGGAGCAGCAGTTCCTGAGTCGGGCCCAAGCAGACCTGGGCTGCTCAGAAAGCGGTGAGGTGTTGGGCCAGTCGCCTGTCTGGACCTGCCGCCTCCTCTGTAGGGAGCCAAGACAGTACCCTCCTGCTGTGGGCTCGTAAGGATGGCATCAGACAGGGGCAGGAAGCAGTGCCCACAGGCCCAGCATGCCAAGCAGCCTTCTGGCCATTGAATCATGAATCCTGAGGCCTCCACTTTCTAGCTGTGTGGCCTGGGCACAGTCTCTTAGGCTTCTGGCAGTTTTCTTGCCTGAAAAAATGGGAATAACAACTCCTAAAAATTAGGTTTATTGTGAAAATGAAGTGGAGCCGTGCACACAGACGGTGCTCAATAGGGACCACTGACACCCTGGCCACGTTCACATGCTCCTCTCCAGGTGGGCGTCTGAGTTAGGGCAGGAACATCAAATCCGTTTCTTGCTTTCAGGAGCAACTCGCTTCCACGTTAGACACATTAGCGGTGTCCCCGATAAATGGCTTAGCCAGACCCGCTTATTATCAAGTTGAAAACTCAGTGGGATTGAGGCTACTAAGTTTCTCCCCGATGGCTCTGAGATGATGCGGCTCCAGAGTCAATAATTATAACACCAGAAGAATGAGCCCAAATTTGCTCTGCTCTCCTGGGGCTGCCGGGGCACTGCTGTAAGCCATCCCAGCACGGTGTGTTAGAGCGTTAAGCTGCCGAGGCGGTCAAATCCAGGGGATTGCTGGAGAGCAAGAACCAGGCTAATTGGTGCAATCCGCTCCTGAGCCTGCTCAGAACACAAAGGCCTGGTCCCCCAACATACTGACACTTCCTCACGCCGCTCGCAAGCTGGGCTCGGCTGGGCCACAGCCTCAACCTATGACGGCTGCCCGGGCCCCGGGAAGCACTGTCGACAAGTGCTATGCATGGCCCATGTGTCAGCTCTAACTTCTCCCTCTTTCCTCTGGACCAGATGATAGGCCCATACTCCCTGTCCTACCTCCTCCTCCTGCCGCTGGGCACCTGCTTTCCTCGACTGGACAGAGAAGGGCCTGTGGACGCCAGGGGTGGCATCGGGCGCAAAATGAGCTGGGCCGACCTGGCCGGAGGACCCCGAGTCCACTCCCTGTGGGGCTCCTCTCCGTGGCCGAGAGCTCCACAGTCACCTGCCCTGCTCGTCACGGCCAAGGAGCTGCAGGCGGCGGGCAGGGAGCGCGCTGGCTTCAGGTTCCGGTTCGGGAGGCAGGACGACGGCAGTGAGGCCACTGGCTTCCTCCTGGCTGATGGCGAGAAGGAGAGTGGCCCCTTAGAGACCCTGGCTGAGGAGCTCAACGGCTACAGCAGGAAGAAAGGCGGCTTCAGCTTCCGCTTCGGCAGGGGCCGGTGGTGAGGGGGCCGGGGCAGCCTGGAAAGAAAGGGCTTCTCCAGGACCCTCCCCATTTCCCCTCCTGTCTCCTCTTCAAGACTTAAGGATCTAGCCCCTGAGAAGACGCGGGTACGAGGGTGACGAGTCACAGCAGTAGCATTGGTTAGGTGTGTGCTGACTTTTGATTTCCAACTTTGCTGAAGCAAAAGCCTGGATGGTGTCAAAAATGAAGTGACAAAAGCAAGCCCTATCTCGGTGAAGAAGCAGGCCGCCGTTGCTGCAGTTCATGGAGGACAGAGTGTCCGCTTCAGGCCCTCCCCTGGCGGGCTGGTTCTGAGCAGTCCCCTGGCCCCGGTGGCCATGAATATGAATAGGCAGAGCTGGCGTGTGGGCTCTGTGCTGAAGGCAGGCAGGCAGACTGATTACAGTGGGTAATCAAAGTCGTGACATTCTCCGCAGGGACGTCTGCAGCTGACACCCAGAGCGCAACTGTGAGTACATCCACTCGGCACAGAGTATGGCTCTGAAAGCTAAAAATCGAAAAAGATCTTGTTCTGCATCCTATTAACACAAGATCCCTCTGGCAAGAAAGCCCTGCTGGGGCATCTCGATGCCACGTGGAACCGGCTGCCCGTGTCCTTCTGGTGATGGTCCTTCTCCATGGTGCAGGCTTTGCCAAGCCGAGTCTCGTGGGAGAGGAACGGGGAGGTGTGTTTTTGCTATCGCAAGGTTGCATTTCAAATGTTCAAAATATGAGTATGTTGTATGTACCTTTTGAAATAAAAGTTGTCACCACTGCAACACCGTAATGGACAGCCCGCCTGACTCTTGCCTGTGGGTCCTCTGTGCCCTGGGAACTTGGTTTTCTGAGCTGCAAGTGCCTCAACTTTGGGGAGATGGAAATTGTGTTGCAAGGACCCACACACTCTCCCAGCATCCCCTTAATTGGCAGTTGGTGAAACACCCCTAGTCAAAGGTATAGGAAAACACAGTATGAGGGGCAGTCGCTCCTGCACTGGACTGCTCTTCCCTGATTTTCTCAGAGCAAGGAGCACTGTGAAAACAACTTCTCTACCCCAGGGGAAGCCAGCGCTCAGCCTGGAGTGGCTGCAGGCCTGGGGCGAGGCAGAGCATCTCTTTCAAACACTGCTTTGGTGTGTCCTGCATCCCATCCTGTGTCAGATACGGCAGGCTGATGCTGCTGGCTCCCAGGCTGGCTTCGACTGCTGAGATGAGAACCTATATTGATGTTACTATGGCAACATCTCCCCTCCTCCTTTCGAGCTGTTGCTTGCTCCTGTTCACAATTGAATAATTTTCCATTGAGCTGTCACAATTAATTGGTGGATTTTTATTAGCCTTTTAGAACCACACTGGGCTGGGCCCAGCTTGGCACCTCGGAGCATTTCACAGTGTTTTCCCTTCTATTAGTGACTTACATTCCCCAGCAGCAGCTCTCAATCCTCGGCAGCCAGAAAGCCACTTCATTAAGGGGTGACAGATCTGAGCCAGAAAAGAGCTAGGCTGACTGGGGAGCAGAAATGGGGTGGTAAGACGGGACAGGAACACAGGAGTCAGACCACCGCCTTGTGTTAAAGCGAGCTGCCTTGTCCTGGAGCTCCTAACTTCTTCCCCCTCACCTTGGCTCACGTGTCCCGGGGCTCAGGGCTGTGCTAGGGGCCTGACAGTGGTGCCAGTCTGGGAGGCACATCGTGCTCTCCTTGGCCTCTACCCCTGTCCAAGGAAGTGATGATCCAGGATGCCTCCCGCTACTGCAACAGTCTGATCCCAGGTCTTCATTTGTCGGTAAAAGAGGCAAAGCTCGGCCCTCAGGCCACACTGAGCAAACCGCAAAATGATGAGCCCGCGTGTCCACACAGGACAGCCCGCCTGGTGCTGAGAACGCGGGTCACAGGCTGGCTGGACCCAGGAAGTGGGCTCCCAGCCCAGGCTCTCAGCCCAGTGTGCACGCACTTCCACTTTGTCAGGGGGCAGCACGTGGGTCGCCCTCTCTTAGCTCGTTCAGACGGCAAAGCAGCCAGAGGACATGCTCATGAAAGACCAGGTAAAACAGAACAGACCACAGGCCGAGGGCGAGGGGCGCCCTGCGGCAAGGTCCCCCGGCCGACCCTCACCTGCCAGTTTCCACTCTCGGAATGAAAGGAGCCGCCCGTGGTCATTAACTGCGAGAACTCGGAGGTCACCAGGCTGAGACAGCCCAGCATGTGATCACACATGCTTCGGGTGCACACTGGCTGGTTTCTCATTTAGCAGGATTAGATTAACCTTGATGGAGAAAGCTGAGATAAAGGGGGGGGGAGGGCCTTCAAAGCAGTGGACACCCCATCATTAGGCTTTCATCATTAAACAAAAATCAACAACAAAGCTGTTCTCTCCAGTTGCTTGTACATTCGAGCTCAATAACCCTGAAAATCAGAACAATCAACCTGCAAAGGGCATTGATCTGTTAAATCCCCTCCCACTATATTTGCTAAATCTCCTCTTTAACCCCCACCTCCCCCTCCCCCGCCAGCGCTGTCAAGGTCTGGGGGCCTCTCACGCACTGCCCCCCCCCCCAGCACTGTCAAGGTCTGGGAGCCTCTCATGCACCTTGCCCCCCACCCCCGCCAGCACTGTCAAGGTCTGGGGGTCTCTCACACCACCCCCCCACCACCCCCGCCTTGGTGGAGAAGATTATGCCCCAGATAAGAGCAGGTGAGGCTCTTTGGAAAACACTTATTTGGGAAGCAGAGTGAGCTCCCCGAGCAGCCGAGCAGCCGAGCAGCCGGCCGGCTACGCCTGGCGGGGCAGGCGCTCTCCTCCAGCCCAGGCCCGAGGGCTGTTTGCATCCGTCCATTATGTTTACTCAAGACACAAAATGGCTTCAGCTCGGGGTGTAGAGGTAAAGGTATTTAACTATTGGAATGGAGGGGGAATATTTGTCTATATTTTCTTGTAGGGTTGAAATATTAATAAAAACGTTTAAGAAAAGAATAGGCTCATGGGGGCAGCAAGCGATCAGGCAGCTCCTCGTAAACAAGGCACCCTCGTCCTAGCTCTGGCCCCGTGTCGCAGACGCTGCAGGACAGACTCCACTGCAGACCCACCCAGACCAGCTGCTCTCACCCCCGGGGCAGGGAGCTGGGGTCCCGCCCAAGATGTTGGGCGACCACCAGGGATGAGCGCAGGCAGCGACAGGTTCACCGTGGTCGGTGAGTCTTGTCCCGCCTGACGTCTTCTGAAGTTTGGAAACTGCACTCAGTTTGGGGATGCCTTCTACAAAACACACCCAACACCCGAGAGGCTGCGTACCCTAGCTCGAATTCTTCACTTCTCTCCCATGGTGGAGGGAGGAGCCCGGCCCTGGAGCACAGACCCCTGCTGCTCAGGCTGTGGCTGTCCACACTGTCAACAAATTAGCCTGGCGTAGCAGATATAAGCTGGCATGTGCCGTGTGACCTTGGGCGAGCTGCTTCACATCTCTGAGCCTCAGCTTCCTCACCCATTAAATGAGCAGAGTGACAGAACTTCCCTCCTAAGAGGTGAGGGTTTCACGTGGTAATGCAGAGCGCATCTGCAGAGGGGCTGAAAGCTCTCACACGTGAGCTGTAATTCTAAGAAAACTTTCATTGAGTTATAACACACCCAGAATGTGCCGCAATTCTAAGTGTACAGTTTGATGAATTTTCACCAAGTGACACACCCATTAGCCAGCACCACCCAGCCTAAGCAACAGAGCACTACCCACCCCTCAGAGCTTCCTTGTGCCCCAACCAGGCATCACCCTCTATCCTGACTTCTAACACCGCACCACAGACTACCTGTGTCCATTTAAATAAACGGAAGCTGCTGGCATCACTTTCGGTGTCTGGCTGCTTCTGCTCAACATTGCATGTGAGATTCACTCCTATCGTGGCATGTGGCAAGTATGTTCATTCTCGTTGCTCTGTAATATTTCACTACACGAACACAATGTACTGATCTTTTTTCTGTTGATGAAATGACTGTCTCCATTTTGGGGGTTTCTTTAGCGCTCGCTTTTTAACGTTTTGACGTCTTAGCCTCCTATTTCGTGATGATATCACTATCAGCTGCTGGCCCTGTTGGCGGGCTTGGCCTTTGGGTACTCCTTGGTTCTAGACCTCGAGGGCAGGACTCAAAATTATCTGAAAATTGTTGTGTGCGCACATCTGTGCATTTTCCTGGGGCCAGCTCCCATTTGTATTAAGCTCTCAAGTGTTTCTAGGACCTAAAAAAGGTTAAGGATCATTGTCCCAGAACGGCTAAGACCCAAGTAAGTTTCTCAAGCTTGGCTGACATCCATGGAAGATTCTTATTTGGGAGAAGGGTCTTATGAGACCCTATTTCACACAGGTACAGCTGCTAACGTGGCTGGTAAGTGACATCACACATGATTGGACAAGTAACCTCACTGCTGAGCATCTGGAAAACGGAAATGGGTAACATGCCCGGTCTAAGAGGCTACCGTGAAGATTCCATGACCGGTGACCGTCTGACACGGAGGCGGCAGCCATAAGCTGTGGCTGTCACTATCATCATTCTACGGCTTCTTTCAGACTTGAAAGCTGTCACTCAGGGAACACCCTGCTACCGGTGGAAAAGCCCAGACTCGGGAGATCCGGTGTCCAGGTACAGTTCAACCACTAGCAGACTCTGTGGCCTGGGCCTCGGTTTCTGCCTCTGTGAATCCAAAGGGCAGAAGTCTGGTCTCTGGGGCTGCTTGCAGCTACTCTGCTTGAGCACACTCCGGCAGTCCACCAGCCCTCGGCCCAGGCTGGCGTCTCCCCCTCCATCACCTGACATGCAGCACACCCCGCTGCCGAGGTCTCTGGGGAAGAGGTTCCACTGAACCGTGCTCTTCAATGTGCTTTGGTGAGCAGGATCCGTATCCTCTGACAAGCCTGCTGGCTTAATAAGTATCATTATCAGAGGGTGCTCCTACTTCCCCGACTTCACTTTCCAAGCTGTCAGCTGGCGTTAAATGGAGACCACGATGAGGACGTACATGTCAGCACACCCCCACACCCAGTCCCCTTGGCAGGCGGCTGGGAGAAGCTGTGGCACATGGTACTGCTCCTCGCCCAGAGAAGTAAGGTACCTGGGCCAAGTGAGGGGGGGTCTGGAGGCTGAGGGCAGTGGCAGAAAGTGAGTTCAAAGGCAAAGAGAGAAAAAGCACCCCTGTGGAGGGATCAGCTCTTTCGGGCCAGCGAGGACCCAGGGCATTACCGCCTCCCCCCATTTCAATGACGCTGTGATGCCCTGAAGGTTGGCCCAGGCCTTGGGCTGGTCTTCCTTTGCCGTGCCAGTCAGACGTGGCCTGTACGTTGGCATGGCTCACTTTCTGTGTCATTGACAAGAGCAGGGCTGCTCCAAACATGTCAAGGGTGCAGGAAGGGCCTGGGACACGGCAGGGGGACTGCTTGCAAGTGGCTGACAACACAGGAGGCAGGATTCCCGCTGCAACCCTGCCATTGTTCTGTTCTGTAAGACCCAACACGGAGCCTCTAGCCCCTTTGGGGAAGCAAGGACCCCTCCCTCCCGACACGTGGGGCTCCATCAGGGACGGGTCACGGACCAACGCAACCGGCCCAAGTTCTAATGTTGTAAACATTTATTTAAAAAATACTACGGAGGAGAGATGTGGATTCAAAAAACACAAAGAGTCATATACAGAAACAAAATGTACTGGACCAAAAAAAAGACACCATAGGCATTTGAGAAGGGAGGAGAGTGGAAAACTATTTACAGGTCATTTATAAAAGAGTGTAATACCAAGGGATAAATGCAAAATATAGTGGCACATCACGTGAACAAAAGGAAGAGACCAGCACCTCACAGAAACAGGCAGCAGGGGAGCTGGTGGGGCTTGTTTTGTCTGCAAGGCCGCTGGTGGTGTTATAGCCCCTCCCTCAGTCTGTCTAACATAGCAGTCTGGGGGGCACAGAGGTGATGTGCTGTGAGCACAGCAGAAAATGATCCAGAGGAAACCCTCTCTACCAGAGAAATAAAATACAGATTTAGGTGATCTGCATAAAAACAGGGCCTGTGCGAGGTCACGGCATGGGGAGCAGAAGGTGGTTTTCTCCTGGTTTCTCCAAGGGCTGCTCCTGGGCTGGGCGTGAGGCCCGGGCAGGGCCTGCCCGCTCTTCAGTAGCTGCTCTAGGTCACGGTCAAGGAGACCTGGGCCCTGGTCCTGGGAAAGCCCGGCGGGGATTACACAGGCCTGCTCTCTGAGACACTTCCTGGGGTTTCGTTTGTCTGTGGTTTTCTTCATCCCTGATGACCCCAACAGAAACATGAGGCTAAGCGTTGTTCGTGGTCGTTAAATAAGACACTCGCCCGTGAGCGCGCGGCCGACACCAGCTGGGCTCCAGTGCCCAGGCCTGTCCTCCTGTGTGCTGCCACCCAGAGCCAGCTGCTTCTGTGTCGGAGGGGGCTGTGCTGCGGGCAGAGCTCTGAAATGCTTCAAGAAGTCCAGAACATTGAAGACTGGCTGGTCACAGAGGAAAGAGCCCTGCAAGGTCTACTTTCTCTTAGAGGACAAGGGAGGGGAAGGAGACGGGGCAGAAATTCGACCGAGTGACTTCTCAGAGCCCCTGGAAATCTGAAAGGAAGGTAACCCTGGGCCCTGCAGACCTGCCTAGGCCCAGCCCCGGGGCCATCTTGACACGAGCTGTTCACCCAACTAACTGCCCCTTGTGCGTCCCCTGCCCCCTTATGCTGGACATCGACCCTGCTGCCCTTAAGACTCAAGCTTCCTATCCAGGATTAGCAGTGCGTGTCACAAGAGAGCAAGGAACTAGGCTCTAAGGACATGGAGAGACCAGATGACAAGGACACTCTTTCACACTGTGGGCCTCTCCAGCTTCCCCACCCGTCCCAGAACCCAAAGCCTGGCTGGTTTGAGCACCCACCCGGTTTTACCCTCTGAGTCAAGAGCTGTCCTTCACACGAGGAAACGGTGAGGGCACCTGCCCCTGGTAGCAGTGGAGGGCAGAGTGACCAGCTGGCAGCGCTTTCCAGGATGTAGTTCTGGAAATGTGTCTTCAGCGTAGGAGGCACAACAAAGATGAGCGCATAGGCTCCCTCCACAGGGTGAGCAGAGGGGACAGTTCCCAAGGCCTTGGTGACATGGCTCCTGGCCGGGGCACTCGTTCTTGGGGGAAATGGAGGTGAAGACATAGCCAGAGGAGGTCCTCCAGAAAGAAATACAAAAGGAGACGCTCCCCCGCCTTGCCACCTGCCTGGCGCTCGGTTCTGGAGCGCTGTGTGCGGGAGAGGCCGGGGCACGACTGCAGTCCACAGAGCGGGAACTCCACAGATAGAACGCGGACTGAGACGGCTCAGGGAGCCTGGGCCGAGGGGAGGAGAGCACAGGAGGACAGTTGGTGCACAACATAGGTAGTCGGCTGTACTCCACAGCAGCTCTCAGCTCCGCCCGCTGCAGAGCCCCTGGGCGAAGGTCTCAGCTCCTGCTCCTGTGTCAGCCACTGTTGAGGGCACGGGGAAGGTGGGTCCGGCTAGCCTGATGCCTGGCTTCTGCTACCTCTGCACGATGTCACTGATCTCTTTCACGGAGCTGAGGAGTTTGCTGAAGTCCTGAGTGGCCGCTGGGCCACTCCCCGCTGTCGCCGGGCAGATCTGAAGCTCCCGGAGGTTATTCTCCAGTTTGTTGATGGCCTCGCGGAAGGCGAATTTATTCCTCATTTGCTGGATGGAATCCACGTAGCTCACACAGAATGTGTAGAGGTTTTTGCCAGCTTCCAGCACAGCGCTATGGCTGGCCATCTGCTCAGAGTTCTTGGAGATAGCAAGGCACAAGGCCTCAGTGCCATCCAGGACCACACCCTTGGTGATGGCACCACTGGCAATTCGCTCCGGAGGCTGGCGGGTTTTCCGAAGAGACACGCGAGTCGATATGAGAGGAATGAAGGCGGTGGAGGACGGCTGGTCCCCTGCCAGGGTGGAGGATGCTGACGGCAACACAGAGGGAGCGGGGACTGGGCTGGTCGGGGTCCCTGCTGGTTTGGTGGATGACTGCGACTTTGGCACAGCTGGGAGCACGGCCTTTTTCACGCCCTCTCCCAGCTGGCTGGGTTTGGCAGTGTCACTGTTCACAGCATCCACAACCAGGGCCGTGGGTTTTGCTTTTCCACAGGCACCTGCCTCCCCGGCTGCTTCCTGGCTCGGGCTCTGAGAGGGCTTCCCGGCTTTCCCAACAGAGGCTGGTGGTGGGGGTGGTGGGGCGGGTTTGAGCTTGGACAACTTCCCCTTGTCTCTCCCTGGGGACTCGGAGGAGGGCTTGTGCCTCCTCACTCTGGACTCCTCGTTGGGGGCCTTGCTGGTCCCTCCAGATGCACCTGGCCCCGCTCTGCTGGTGGGGGGCACCGGCTCAGCTGCAGGCGTCCCGAAGGCACTGGACTTCCCGGCCTCTTCCTTGTGGGGAAGGCCAGAGGAAGGAGCCACCACGACCTGCCTACGGAGGAGTTTTGGAGTCAGACTGGGAGGGCTGGAGCCCGGGCTGGACTCTGCTGCGTCTCTTAAGACCTCATCCACGGCTTCCTCGGTCTTCTTCACCAGCCTGGGCGGGGGGGTCACTGTGCCTCTGGTCACCTGGTCAGACCTGGTCTCACTTGCCCGCTTTCGAGGCAGAGCTGGCTTCTCACTTTTGTGCCCTCCAAATGTGGACGAGTCAAACTGTCTTCCTGTGGACTGCAGATCCCGAGGCAGTGTGACAGACCTCCACTCTGTGTCCTTGGCCCCATGGGGCACACAGGAGGCAGAGCAGGACCTCAGGAAGCGCTTGCTGGAGCTGCCGCCATTCTCCTCTTCACTGGCTGCTAATCGGCTACTGGTCAGCGTGCTAGACTTTTTCCATAGGTGTGGAGACCGGAAGCCTGCGCCCCCCGACTCCCGGAAGGCTCCATTAGGGACACCAGCCCCGCTGCTGGGCTTTGGGGACTTGGCTGGCTCGGGTGTGTCCGAGGGTGCGAGAGCTAGGGCGCCGTTGCTAACCTCCCGGCCCTCTTCCTCCCCGGCCACCTTGCGCTCCGGCTGGCCGTCCATCTCCCGGAAGGAGCTGCTGCGTTTGGGAGGGGCTGGGGCTGTTTTCTTCTTCTTCTTGATCAAGGCACTGAACAAGTTGGTCTTTTTGTCTTTGGGGAGAAGGCGTTCATCTTCATTTAAGCCACCATCCTGGGGACCTCGCTCTTTTCGAGGGAGCAACGGAGACACAGCAGGCTCGTGGTCCAGAGGATCTGAAACACATTGGAAACAGGTTAACAAGCCCAGACCAAGGGCTCCTGGGTGAGCGGGGCACCTTGCGCCGGCCGCCCACTCTCCACAGAGCAGCAGCCACGGGTCTGGGCTCTGGGCTCTGACAGGCCTGCGTGTGACTACCAGCTCTGCCGCTCACCAGCTACGAGGCCTGGGCAGGTCACCCTTCCTTGCTCATCCTCAGCTTCCTCACCTACAGAACGGAGGACAGTAAAGTCTGCCCAGAGCGTTGCTGTGAGAGTGTAAAGCGATAACAAATGTGGTGCATTCACAGCTCTTGGCACTTCTCAATAACTGTTGTCACTTTGTATTATTATTAGGGAAAGCTTAGGTCTCCGTCCTTGAAGACAGCAGAACAAAAGGCTAGGACGCACCTGGCCCCCTCATCCTTGCACTGGTTTCCTTTAAAGCAGTAAAGTCCCGCCAATACCACTATCTGGTGAGTCAAAAAGAGGCTGAGGCCGAGCGAGGGGTCAGAACCTGTGCTTCTCAGACTGGCCAGCCGGGCAAGGTTCCTGGGAGGTGCGGTATGGAGGGAAGGGCTGCGTTCCACAGGGCGCAGTGATAATGGGCTATTAAGCTTAGGAAACGAGCAGGGGTGACCTACAATTTTTACATGGGCATTCTTTAAATCTGAATAATAGCTCCTAAGAGATCTTTCTGGTGTTGCCAAGCTCCCTGCTAGTGAACGACAGAATTCTCCTCAGAGGGCAGCTGCAGCAAGAGCGGTTTCCCGGTCGCACCCTCTAACTCGGAGCAGAGGTGCAGGGCATTGTCAGAGTACCAGGCGGCATGCAGGATACCTCACAGGGAAACCGAGGACCTCCCAAAACTTGAATCCAGCGGAAGAAGGTGAAGAAAGCGAAATTCTAATGAATTATGCACAGCCCTACTTCAGAGCTGAACAGTAGCTGACACTCGGCTCACCACGAGATTACAGATCAAAATACCCCTCAGATGAGCACTGACGGGCATAAATGAACATGACTGCTTATCACTGGTCTTTTAATAAGCCTGAAGCTTCCGTAGCAGCCTCTCCTCCTCCCCACTGCTTATCTACCTGAAATCATGACAACCAACAGCAGGATGAGGGTCCAGGCCTCTGGACAGTCCATACGCCATGGCCTCCAACGGAGGGCGAGCGAGATGACCCAGGGGGTGTGGAAAGAAAGCGTCATAACTGGGATTTATTTCTTTATAATCCTGGCTTTGCCCTGTCCCTTCCCACTTAGTCTGTGGTCCATCAGAGCATCCCCTAGGAGCCTCTACAAACCCAGATGTCTGGCCCACCGAAGACATTTTCGTTCAGCTGGTCTGCAGTAGAACCCAGACTTCTGGGGTTTTCTGGGGAGGGAGGCAACACTACCTCAGAGCAGCCTAACTCACACACAGCCTGGCGCACAGGAAGCACGAGCTCAGTGTTTGCTAATATTCCTGACGCCATCCTGAGGGCCCTCCTGAACCAGCCCCATCTGCCTGGCTCAGAGGACGGGAGAGGACGCTGGCCCCGCGCCACAGCTGTCTCCTGAGGCCGTCAGTTCCTGGGAGCTTTTTGTGTCAGTGCTCTCACAACAAGCTGCTCTTCATTTGTTCGGTATTTAGCACTGCTGTATCTGCCCTGCAAGAGCAACCACACATGCGGTGAGTAACACACAAGAAGGTGGGCTCCGCCTCAGGAGGCTGCACAAGCACCTCCGCCTCTGCGACCGAGCTAGCCGCCAAAGCCGTGGCTCCCAGCGACTCTGGCGGGAGTGGGTGCTGCAGGGGAGCACGTTCCTCTTCTCAAAGCTGGGCCACTAATGCGGAATGGGCCTGGCCTCTGTGCATCCTCCTCTCGCTGCTTCCCATCTGCCTGCACTGGTCCTGAGGGGCCTCCCGTGGGGGTGGGTAGTGGTGGGGACATTACCAGTCTCCCCTGGGCCCTTGGGGTGGGGGGTCTCAGCCCCGTCGGTGGAGTCTTTGTGTTCTGCAGCTCTCCTGGAGGTTCTTGTCTTGGTGGGCAGCTCTGGGGCCTGCAGCAAAGGACCTGCAGCCCCTCGCACTCCTTTCTTCCCCAGTTCCTTCTCCACTTCTGTGTGCCACCAACAAAAAACCCAAAACACCAGCCATCAGCAACCATGTCACTTTGGTATGTTGGTTTTCTTTTTCTTTTTAAGATAACAGTGGTCATCCATACAGTTACGGAAAAGAGAAACAGGTGCTGGAGAAACAGCACTTAGGAGTTTTCAGCATTCTGCACGGCTGCAAGAGGCAGCGCTCCAACTCAAACCTCTGCCCCACTTCCTGGGCTCAGATAACTTGGCCCACGCACTTCTCCCAGGAAGCAAACTAAAGGACAGGGCTGGAGTCCCGCACGGCCATCCCTCCTATCCCAGCCTCCCCCACTGCAGGTGCCCCAAGGATGGGCACTTTACCATCTGAGATGCTGGACTCCTGGAACATTGTTTCAAAAGCTTGGTGGATTTCAGCAAAGGAGGGCCGCTCAGAGGGATTCCACTGCCAACCTGGACAGATGAGACCCAAGTCAGACCACCCACAAGGCCTTGCTAGCACGTGTGGGGCCTAGCAACTCTCAAGGAAAGTCTAGAAATGAGGAAGCATTTCAATCCTACTAACCATCTCTTGCTGTGATAAGTTAAAGTGACAAAAGCCACTGTGTCCTATATTACAGACATTAAGAATTTGAAAAGACTTCAGATATTGGCAGGAACACAGATTGTAAAACCCCAGGGAGACATGACAGCAAGACCTGCGTTTACAAATATATCTTTCCCAACCCCACGCTAGCAAGAGCAGAGAAGAACTAAGTCAAATAACTCGCCTTCTACTTTACCCTCCCTTCACGGTTATCAAAGTCCAAAATCCTCACCGGTAAAGAAAGGCTAATTAAAACAAGATTAAGATGAGGATTAAGGACTGATAAAGCTCCACGGTGGTGAGGAAGTAGGGACTCACTCAGAGACACTTCTGGTGGGAGTATACATTGGCACATTTTTTGGAAAATAATTTGGTGAAACCAAAATTTAAAATGCACGTAACCCAGGGCCAACCCCATAGCCGAGTGTTTAAGTTTGTGTGCTGTGCTTTGGAGGCCCAGGGTTTGGCAGTTCAGATCCTGGGCACGGAACTACACACTGTTCATCAAGCCTCGCTGTGGCAGCATCCCAGACAGAAGATCTAGAAGGACATACAACTAGGATACACAATTGTGTACTGGGGCTTTCGGGAGAAAAAAGAAAAAACCAAAGAGGAAGATGGGCAACAGATGTTAGCTCAGGGTCAATCTTCCTCACCAAAAAAGCATATCTAAAAAAAATGCACGTAACCCTTTGAATCAACAATTCAACTTTTGGAAATACCAGCATAAGGCACAGAAGTATAGGTAAGAGGGTGTGCATTCCTGCCTTGTTTCTGACAACAAAAACCAAACAAATGTGCAAAACAACCAAATGTTCATCAGAAGAGGACCGGATGAGTGACACGTCATTTGATGGGATGCTAAACAGCTATAAAAAATAAGGTGGGGGAGAGATCTCTGAATTATGGACATGGAAAGACATGTCTGTTATAATGCTAAGTGAAAAACAGCTGAGGGAATGATTTACATAAACATATGTAAATAATAAAACCAACGAGATAAACGTCACCCAGAGAGTATTTACCTACTAAACAGAATGTTTGAAAGTAGGGCCCAGGAATTTCTATTTTTAAATAAGATGTCCAAGTTTGACATCCATCAATCCCATTTTTGCATTAAAAATAAACAAAAAAACCCTTCATATGTAAATATGATGTATAAATAAAGGTGTACAGAAACAGTGAAAAAAGTCTGAAAAAATATGTACCAACTGTCACACGAGTTGCTTCTGAAGAGCGAGGATGAAGAAAGGAAACGGAACACTTTAATGTTTTACTTTACGTGTGCCCCCCAATCCGACCCGTGAACAACGCCCAGCAGGGTCGGAGAAGCGGCCGGGGAACGCTCACATGCTCGCATGAGTTCGTAGACCTTCTCTGGGCAGCCTTCCGGGCGCTCCATGCGGTAGTCTTTCTCCAGCAGCTCATACACCTGGGACAGGTCAATTCCTGGGTAAGGTGACATGCCATAGGTAGCAATTTCCCAAAGCAACACTCCAAATGCTAAAAGGAAAAAAAAGAGAAAGGCTGTTCAAGATGTGTAAGATTTAACTGGCCTGCATTTAAAACTGGTTACCTGTACAGTAGACATCAGAAGTTACAGCCTCAGAAGCAGGCCAGGCAGTGACATTTTACCAGGCTCTGAATTACCAACAGCCCAGGACAGAACGAGACTTCCATTTTACTCACTCCCACAGGTTAAAACACGCCGAAGGAGAGAAGAGGCCTGGGCTGATCAGATCCCTGGGGGTCTTTTAGGTGACGTGACCATCTTGCTGGGACATGTGGCAGAGGGAACCTAGGGCTGGACCTTAGGAGGCCATTTCTACTCCTGGCTACACTGTGACCAACAAGTTACGGGCCTAAGACAGGCCACCTCTCCTTTCTGGGTGTATGAGATTACCGCCAAGGCCAACTCCAAAATTTTCATAAAAATCTTATGAAATCTTTAAAAATTTTGAAAGCTCAATTATAGCCTTGAAATTCCAGTTCCCCTTAAGGAACCAGGACGCCTGAAGAACTGGGAAACTCAGGCCTGAGCCAGAGAATGAACCCGGAGTATCTTATCATTCTGGACAGCACAGACGCTGTCAAAGACTACAAGGGTCTTGTCAAAAGGACCAGGAGCAATTTGAAGTTCCCACTGGCCAAAGATGAGACAATCTGAACATCAATGAGAAAAATAATCACAGTGGATTAAAACCTATCAAATACATTTAAATCTGAGAATTCATAATAACATCACAAAAGAAAAACAACAACAAAAACGCAATTGGTCACCATTGGAGGGTACTAAGAAACCAACTGGTTACTGTGAAAACTGGTAAATAATGGCAAGAAGCAAACATTCATCCTATGAACTGTGCCTCTGAGTAACCAAACAGTAGGTGAGGGGAAGTTTCTTCTTGTAGAAGTACTGAGCTACTAAATGAACAAGGAACGACGGAGTTAGAGAATTAGCATTTGACCCCTAATAAATTGGTGGATCTAGGCACTGGGTACCAAGAACTGCTAAAATCACAAAAAAGAGAAAACCAAGAATTATGTACCTATTGATGAAAAAAGCACAGCCTCTCTAACGAAGTACTCTTACTAAAAGAAAAGAAAGTCAGACCTGAAGGTGATCAAGCT